TTTGATAGTCTATTATTTCTTAATGGCTTATTGATTTAACCCTCTTTACAGTGTCGTTAATACTTTCTTTTTGACTTTTACTAAATTAGAACACAACATATTAATAAACTTATAAGATTTACTGGTAAAATTATAAATTTAGACAACAAGTTTGGTTATCGAATATATCTACAGAATGGACAAAGAAAAAACAAAAATAAATTTGATGTTAATATGCTAAACACAGAAAAATAATATATCAATAACATTGTTATAGTAATTAGCAGTTATAAAATAACACTAACAAAAAAATAATACTAATTGCATATAAATATTAAGTACTTATAATATCCTTTAGTTGTTAACTCAATTCAAAATTAAAAAGATATCCAAAAAAAAAAAAAACTGAAAATCACATTTTCTGAAGATTCTACAGCAACTGGTGTTAAAACCGGACTAGGAATTAGTTTGTTATGTGTCCTTTAGTTGTTTAATTCAATTTAAAATTAAAAAGATATCCAAAAAAAAAAATAACTGAAAATCACATTTTCTAAAGATTCTACAGCAACTGGTGTTAAAACCGGACTAGGAATTAGTTTGTTATGTGTAGTACTTCTTTACTGCTGCAGGGTACTAATTAGTAAAATAAATGTTTGAAAGACAAAGTGTTAATCTTAAAGTGTTAAATCTTAAATGAAATAATAGTATTATTCTGAATACTTCTGATCGTGTATCCGATTCACTTAACAGATTTTATCAATATTTGTCACATTTGCAAACTGTAGTTGATAACTATTATTTGTCTTTGGTGGTTGAAGATGTTGCAATATATTTGAGAAATGTACAGCAAAAACAATGTCTTCTGCAACAGGATATTTAAACAAATTTTTGGATCCTTCTACTTTTCTTAGAAATCTCATATAAAGAATTTTGGGTGTTGATAAAACCTCAACAATCTGCCCAATGTAATTCAAGAACACACTTTTTTTAGTTTTTCCTGGGTAGACTGCAACATGCTAACTCCCTGTAGATAGAAAATTGTTGACATCATGTTCTTCTTGATCAGACTTAAAACCGACATCTTTCTTTTCATTAACTTCATTAATAGAACCACTACTACCAACTTCAATGTCTTCTAATTCAGACAAAGATTCAACATTCTTTGAAGCTAGTTTTGATTTTTTGCCGTTAATTTGTTGCTTTTTGGATTTTTTCTGTTTTGTTGGTTGTCCATCATCAATGTCATCTATTGTGATTAATTTTCCTGGTGCAATTTTTTTCCCTCTTTTTCTATTGGTTTGTCCTGCTGCATTGTTGCCACAGTACTTCGTGAGAATATCTATTACACCCTGATTTAATATTTCTTTTATGGTCTCACCGCCATAGTCTTTGTTGACATCTGGAAGCCGTTTTAATACTTCTCTATTCAATGGATATATGCCTGAAGCTTTGAATCCGGCTTTTAAGTTGTCTGCATTCAGAGTATTTTGCAACTTTTTCAAGAGCGCTGGGAAATGGTTTTTTGGAATTGAACCCTTGATTCTTGATTCTGTTCTCCATGTTTGTAAAATCTTCTTCCACTCAACTTTCAAGGATCTGAAAACAGCAATATCAAGTGGTTGTAGCAGATGTGTGGCATTCGGGATTAAACATGTAAACCGTATATTATTTTCCAAGCATGTTTTGATGATATCATATGAGAAATGTGAAGATAAATTATCCCCAATAACAACTTTAGTTCCTGTAAGAGATGCTGTTTCAGGAATAAAAATTTCCTTGAACCAACGTTCAAATGTTCTGGAGTCAAACCAACCAGATTTTGAACTGTCAAATATACTTCCAGGTGGGCCACCATTTGTCCATTCAATGTAGCAGTTTGCAGCTTTATAAACAACCATGGGAGAAAGAAAATGACCAGCTGCACTCCCACAGTACATAATACTAATAGCTCCTTTAGAATGCTGCATTTTTCTTTCTATACGTTTAAGGACGCGTTTACAAATGACTGTTTTAGAGCCTGGGTTATCGCTGACATTTGTCTCATCATAATTGAATATATTTGTATCAGGAATGTCTTGAAGTGTTATGGACAACTCGTCAAAATATGAGCAAACTGAATTTTGATCAATTTCAGCTCTTGCTGTTTTTACGTTGTCAGCAATTCGAGCAGTCAGATTATTGCGAACAATAAAGGATTTCATCCAATCAGGGCCAGGCAAGTTATTTTTAAATTTTAAATCATTAACTCCCATTCTGTCTAAATAGTTTTTTACTAGCAGACGTATATCTAACTTATCTAAAGGTAACTTCCAATCTGTCAGAATGCTAATAATTTGTAAAATCTTTTCTTCTGTATGGGGCTGTAATCTAGTCTGTCCTACAGGGTTTTTCATATGTCTTAGCTTACTCTTGTTGTACAGAGTACTATATGGTATAGCATATATCTTAGATGCCTTGAAAATCGATATTCTGTTAGTTGAGATATTTACCAAGGCATTTTGCAAGTCTTCTGCTGTGTAAGATGCATAGGATCGATTACCTGGTTTACGTTTATAAGTTCTCATAATCATTGCAATTCTCCTTGTGATATTTTTTGTTTTAACGTTTTTTTTAACTAGAAATAATCGTTTGAAACATTAAAAAATTACAATAGGATTGAAATATATAATACTAAAAATCATTTGAAAAACTGAAAAACAAAATTGTTTTGATTTTTCTGCAAATGTGATTGAGAGTAACCAAAAACGAGTGGTATATTCCAGTGGTATTATAACTGGAAAATACCACTTGAACATCTAAGTAAAGATTTTTAGAAAAAAAAAAATTTCAAAAAAATTAAAATCACAAGATTTTTTGGCATTTTTTGGTACGTGTAAAAATCGTTATTTTTTTGTTATAGTCATGTTATTCCTAACACATTTGCACAATTTAGAATCACTTCACAATCATTAAAATTTCAAAAATATTAGCAGAATATAATTATGTACAAGAATAAAAAAAAAAAAGTCTCTAATTGTGCAATTTCACATTCAAATCATTATTTTTGTAAATAACAGACGAAATTATCAAAGTCACCCCGCGTATCAAAGTCACCCCGTTCTACGGTACATCGCCATTATCCGTTTTATTTTACAAACAAACAGGTTTGGGCACCTGGCTAATTTAGTGAATTATATTATATGAAGTAATAAATTTAATTTTTTTTTAGAGATTTGAGATGAATTTGTAGAGATAAATATATATGCAGGTATGTGCTTTTAATTTATCTCACTAGGTTATAAAATTATGCATTAAAAAATACACTGATACTTTTAAAATTCCTGATACTTTTAAATTTCTGTCGCATCTTAATTTCTAAACTCTCTCTGACCATTCTTTAACTCTAGATTTTTATTTTCATTGTAATAATCTGTAAAAATTTTTAAAGTGACTTTAAGTGAAGACCTTATTAGGCCTTGAAAAATCAGATTACACTAAAATAATTTCTTTTAAAGATTTAAAGTTAGATTTTAGACATTTTGTTTAAAGCAGAGTCGTTAGTCCTTGGCCTTGCCTTAAGGCCAAAAATTGAGGCATTGGCCTTGAAACTGTTGGCCTTGGCCTTGAAAATTTTGGCCTTGATTGTTTTGGCCTTAGCCTTAAAAAGATACATGTTTTCTTATTGATCTTGTTGAATTCTGCCCATAACCTTGGTTTATTTTTACAAAATGTGGTTTATTGTCACAGCACTTGCGACTTACAGTTGTATTAATAATTGGCCGTAACGTAAGGCAAAAGTTGAAGTCTTTGGTCTTGAAAATGTTTGCGTAGGCCTTGAAACTTATAATCTTGTCCTTGAACTTGTAACGCATGGCCTTGATTCTTTTGGTCTAGTTAACAACTCTGATTTAAGGTATGTATAAATTAAAAGTTACTGCTATTGCAATACATATAATTTTCTCATCTTAATTGGAAGTATGCAAAGATGTTTTATAACATAAGAAGCTAAGAGTTAGCATACATAGTTTTTTAAATTTAGGTGGGAGTATGGACAAATATATGTAGAAATTGAAACTTTCAACAAATATATTTAGTAACCGAAGCATTTTTCACGATTCATTTTGAAAAATGCTTCGGTTACTACATATAAATCTAGAAAATTGAAAAAAAGATGCGCAAAGTACGTTAGACCTCATCCTAAAGTTATGAGCTTTGTACACGAATTGCGTCTATTTTACTGGACCGAACAGCAATAGCTAAAAAACAGATCAAATTAAACTTTGTTTTTATTTATATTTGTAATATAATGTATTGATTACATCAATATTTTACCAAAACAGATTTTAAAATCTATAATGAAAAACCTTTATTTGGGTAGGTTAAGTACTTTTAACTAAGAGATCCTCAGTTTTTTTATGTTATTGTGATTAATAATTATTTCCTAGATAATTTTTTAGTATTTGATTTACATTTTTATAACAACGTATAAATTCTACTCATTTATTTTTTCCTCTTAATAGCATTTCGACTCTGTAATATGTGTTAAGTAAATACAAAATTGCTTTGGCATCATACCGTATGCTGTATTAAATATTCTGTATAAAAAGCATTTTAAATCTACCGAAAAAAGAAATATAAATACAAATATAAATACAGAAGCCATAAATTTTACGAAGAAAGAGGTTTGCTGACTGACTTAATCCGTTAATTTATAAGGAATATAAAAACTAGGAAAATATAAATTTTTAAAGGGAAAGTGCTACCTCTTTACTGCCTAACACATGTACTCTTACTAAAACTTTTTAAAGAGTAGAATAGATCAGTCAATGATGCGCTTACTGCATTGGAGTGAGGCAAGATCTCACCTCAGCTTTTACTTTTTCCGGATATATCCGGAAAAAATAACCCCTGGCTACGCGCCGTTTTAGAAATTTGAACCTCATGCAAATGCTCGAATTGATCCTCCCCTAAATTTAGACAAGAGGTACTAAACGATCTGAATTATTAAAAAAAATCAATAAAAAAAAATCAATATTTATCAAGCAAAAAATATTTTTAAAATACTATTGAACAAATGATATAAAGAAATATTTTCACTTTTTATTTTACAAAATGACTAAAAATAAAATCGAATGAACAACGTGACATAAGAAATGCTTTTACATTTAGTCAACTTTAAAAACTAATAAACTCGTAAATAAACTAACTAACATAAAACTAAACATAAAAAGAAAACCGCTGACAAAATACAACAAAAACCAATAAGAACTTTATATATAAAAGGCATTAAAAACTTCTTCAAACCTTTTAACTGAAAAGTTTTGCATTGAATAAAGACTTAAAGCCAGTAAAGTTATTTCTAAATGTCTATTAACTTTATGTCCAGCACGGAAAAGAGGCCAGCCTCAATTCCTATAAAGTTTAATACAAAGTTTAGATATTGATAAGGCTCAGTAAGGCATAAAGAAATTTTTAAAGCACAAATATTCGCGTTTTATACATTTTTACTTTAATAGCTAGTATATAGAAAGTTTGTACCAGTTAATCGCAACCCCTATTTCATATAAGGCACGGTTGCTAGTTTATTGAACTTTTGTATTGACTACTTTGGCACCAAAAACTTATTTTAAGACGTCCTAATAATTTTTACTTTATTTCTTTGAAATATAAAAGTTTTAGAAAGCTATTATCATCAAAACATAATTTGTAATTATGTCTCAATGAACACAAAAAAGCTCAAAAAAAGTTCGTGGTAAAAAAAGTTTAAAAACTTGAGTAATTCCACAGAAACAAAATTGCCAAAAATAAAAGCATTATTTATAATATATATATATCGCATAATATAAATTATATTTTTAATAAACATATTATTAAGTTTTGTCAGAAACTTTGTAAACGATAAAAGTTAATAATATAAGCAAAGAAATCTAAACTTTACGTATTAACCAAAATAAAAGAATAAAAAAATAAATTAAGGAAAAAAAAAATAATTTACAAAAAAACACGTTACAAAGTCTTGAACCGATCTCCTGTAACAACAGGTTTGAATAACCATCTACAATAAAGAATAAAACTTATATTTATTAGTTTATAACTTTTTTTCGACACAACAGACTCCTTTTATAAGGAATCTATTATTCTAGGTTATTTTTTAATTTTATGTATATATATATATATATATATATATATATATATATATATATATATATATATATATATATATATATATATATATATATATATATATATATATATATATATATATATATATATATATACTAATAGTCTTTCTCAAATGTAACCTTCTTAAAGAAGGTTTTGTTATAAAAAAAAACGTTTTTTATAACAAAATATCCTGCACTAAAACACCCACGTTGTTGGGTGTTTTAGTGCAGGATATTTTTTTTTAATTGAACGAAATTGTGATTTTCTCAATCATTATTAAAATGTTCATTTACTCCTACTATAGGTCAACTATATTTTTGTCATAAATCTAACATATATATATATATATATATATATATATATATATATATATATATATATATATATATATATATATATATATATATATATATATATATATATATATATATATATGTGTTTCAAAAAAAAGGCGTCTAAAAACTTTCAAAACATATTAACAGCCGTGGTCAAGTTTTCAAAATCACAGAGTATTTGCGTGGTCGTATTATGTTATGAAATTGCACGCTTTCCTGGCCAAGCCTGGAAGAGACGCTTACAATTTTTAAAAACTAAAAAAAAAAATTTTTTTTAGTATTAAATCACAGTCTAGGCAGATGATACGCTAGAGCTCTTTTTATATATATATTAGTGTTTTTGAAACACTAATATATATATATATATATATATATATATATATATATATATATATATATATATATATATATATATATATATATATATATATCCTTCATAATTATTCGAATGGTATTAACTTTTTTAAAAAATGCTATTGGGTCATTCCATGCCAAGTGAACCAGGGTCCAACATGGACACCCCTCAGATTTTAATGAAACTCGGTGGGTTGGTTTATATCAATGAAAAAAGCAATTCCTGAAAATTTCAGCTTAAAATCTTTAGTTGTTTATGAGATATTGCCAGTTTTTTCCAAAAATTAAAACTTCGTTAGCAAAAACATGATTTGTTCATACTTTGAAGCTCTGTATTTTAAAAACGAAAATTCAAAAAACCTAGTTTTTTTTTATTACATACAACTGTAGGCTTACTTTGTTAAAACCTTGACATTGAATTTTTTAATGTCACATTTTATCCATAATGGCTGCCTAAAAAACCTAAAAAATTGTTTGCAGATATAAAAAGTTGATTTTTTGATGGGTCAATATACAAAATTAGAAACTTAAAAAATGAAAAGAAATATCTTTTTAGTTTCTTTATATGGTAGGCTTCCTAATATTTAAAAACTTGCTGATAAGATACGATTCAGTAAGAAATATTGGACTCCTAAAAATGGCTCCAGTTAAACTTTAAAAATTGTGCCTTTAAACCACCGATAACCAAGGATTAACACTGATTTTCATAATAATTTTTTTTTTTTTACTGATTTACCAGACTTTATTAAAGTGATTTCAGAAAAAAAATTAGTGGGTACTCATTGGGGAGTATTCAGAGCAATGAAGTTGGCATATAATGCATTAAAAACAATAAAAATATAGATATTGATGTACTTTAGCTTTGATTATCTACGGCATTCCAAAATATATAAATATATAAAAGTATATCATAATCTTTACTAGAAATAAGCTATAAACTAAGCAAATAATTAAAAATAAATGGCTAGTGCATCTTTAGATCTAACTCAATATTGGATTGGAAAAACATTAAATAAAAATTGTCATGACGAAAAATTTACCAAGTTCAAAAAAATTAAATGTTTTGATGAATTAACCAAAAAAGATCAAGAATTCGTACACTTAAGATGTAAGTTAATCATATAAAAACTATTTGTTATCACCATGAAAATATTTTCTTGAATAGATTTGAGTCTTTGTACGATGGCTTAGGTTGCGATCCATTTTGCGGTAGTGGTGTAATGGTAAGAGCGCTTGCTTTGTAAGCGAGAGGTTCGGAGTTCAACTCCCACCACGTCCCTGGAAGTACCGCGCTTAACTTAATTTCTCCGCACAGCGGTCTTGCTTGTCAAGGTTTGTGTTTCGGAGTTACCACAAAAAATAAAAAAATAAAAAAAAATAAAAAAAAATAATGAGTAGCCTCCTCGACTGTAGTGGCCCCCTTGGGCCTTAGGGAGGTGAATATTAAAAAAAAAAAAAAAAAAAAAAAAAAAAAAAAAAATTTCACAAGCACAAAATTAAAATAAAAAACATTTAAAAATAAATTGACTTGATTATTTCAAAGATAAAGGCTTATTTAATGTTTTATCATTTTGTTTCTTTTTAGAATCTGTCAGAGTAATCAGTGTTGCTGTTGCAAAGAAATTTGATACCTGGTCATAAGCTTTGTACTGAATGTCGTAAAATATTTTATTTAAAAAACAACAAAAAAGATTTTGAAAGCGATTCATGTAAAAATAAAGAAAATGATTTTAATGAGATTCATATTTCACAAGAAACCTTCAATTTAAGCATTAATAGCCTTGGTTGTTCACCTCTAAAACTAATAGCGCATAAAGAATAATTTTAATGAGATTCATATTTCATAAGAAAACTTTAATTTAAGTTTATTATGAAAACCAGTCTTGATCCTAGGTTACCGGTGGTTTAAAGGAAAGGCACAATTTTTAAAGTTTTACCTGGAGTCATTTTTAGGAGTCCATTATTTCTTACTAAATTGTATCTTATCAGCAAATTTTTAAATATTAGGAAGCCTACCATATAAAGAAACTAAAAAGATATTTCTTTTTATTTTTTAAGTTTCTAATTTTGTATATTGACCCATCAAAAATCAACTTTTTATATCTGCAAACAATATTTTAGGTTTTTTAGGCAGCCATTATGGATAAAATGTGACATTAAAAAATTCCATGTCAAGGTTTTAACAAAGTAAGCCTACAGTTGTATATAATAAAAAAAAACTAGGTTTTTTGAATTTTCGTTTCGTTTTTAAAATACAGAGCTTCAAAGTATGAACAAAACATGTTTTTGCTAAAGAAGTTTTAATTTTTGGAAAAATCATAAAATTTAAAAGGCGATATCTCATGAACCACAAAAGATTTAGAACTGAAACTTTCAGGAATTGCTTTTCTCATTGATATAAACCAACTCACCAAGTTTTGTTAAAATCTGAGGGGGTCCATGTTGGAATCCCAAAATTTCAGTCCATTTAATCGTTTTTAATCTTTGGTTATAAGATTAGATATTTTTTGACTGTAAAACATGGTGGATGTAGGGGTAAGGTGTGTGGCTGTTTTGGTTAGAAGGCCACAGGTGACTTTATGAAAATAGAGGAAATAATGACAAAAGTAATTTACTTGTACACTTAAAAAATTATGCTACACCTTTGGAAAGATGGGTTAACAAGAAGCTATTCATTTTTTCAGAAGAAAATAACTTGAAGCTTAAATCTAAAACATAATTTTCAAAAAACTTGTTTAAGTTATTTGACTGAGTTCAAGAAAGATCAAGTATTAAATAAAATGATTTAACCTCCTCAACAACAAGATCTCTCTCCTATCGGATTTTCATAGGAAAAAAAGTAATGTCAAAAACTAATGCCAAATAATGCATAAGATGTGGATAAAACTTATTAGTTAGTGGCATAAAATTGACTTTTACAAATTAAATAAGTCGTTAAGTAGAATGCCAAGAATATGTATGGCGGTTAATGATGCTAAGGGTGATTAAAAGGCAAGTAAATTATAAATAATCTAATCGGACTTATATTAAATTTTTTGTGAACCTAATAAAAAAAAAGATAACATATAACTCGCTTTCAGAATCTCACCCAATAGTAAGTAAAACTATGATATCTTATTTCAAAAAGTATGACTATTTAAATAATTATGGACAGTAGTGTGTGTGTGTATATATATATATATATATATATATATATATATATATATATATATATATATATATATATATATATATATATATATATATATATATATATATACATATATATATATACATATATATATATATATATATATATATATATATATATATATATATATATATATATATATATATATATATATATATATATATATATATATATATAAGAAAATTGTCAACACTCAATGAAAACATACCTGCATACTAGGTATAACCTTATTTAGGTGACTTGCAATTGTATTCATAAATAAAAATTTTATAAAAAAGAAATATACCGATTTGTTTCTTTATTTGAGAAGACTTCTTTATCAAGAAACATTGACATTTCAATACCTTCATCTGCATAATAAACACAGTTTACTTTAGTTACTATTTTACAAAAATGTAAAAGTAAATAATTTCATTACATTAACAAAATTATTTAACCTGTGTTGCCAGAATCCATAGAGAGGTTGGCACTAAAAAAATACATTTACTATAACAAGCTGTACAAAAACAAAAAAAAAATCTTTAAAAAACTTTTAAATGGTAAAAAACCTTTCAAATAGTAAAAAGTCTGATGCAAAAAAACAAATAATAAAAATAAATTTAAATAATAATAAATACTTTTGCACAAGTTGATTCACTATGTCATCAGCATCAACTCTTGTTTCATCAATCCGCTTGTGAATTTCTGCTACTCTCTAAGTTTTGTTTGATAGTAATTTCAGTTTAAGTTTATTTTACACATTGCTTAATTCTATTACTGTTTCATTTATACAAATTGTATAAATAAAAATATATATTTAAACATTTTTTAAAAAATATATACTGCAAAAGGAGCAAATAATAATAATAAAAAAAAATTAAAATGATTTACCTTTTGTGGCCTAATGGGACTAGGACTGAGATGATCAAGATCTGTGCAACCAGAATCACCAGCAGCTTTATTATATCAAGGATCTTAAAACTGTTAATTTTTATTATAAACAAACTATTTATATATTGTTTTTTTAATTTCATTTAAAAATCTACATTTGTTATATTTTCAAAAATATTTAAAAAGATACATGCACTTGAAGGCTGCCTAGAATGGTTAAATGGTTGACCAGAATGGCTGTAAAAAATTTTTTATAAAAATAAATATAATACCACTAAATATATTGAACATGTATCCTCATATATAATTAATTCTTATACACTTTCATACATACATTATACATACATTTCAATTTCAAAAAAAATATTACATGTAGATTTAAAAAAAAACTATTTAAAATATCAGAAGCAAATATTTTTTATTAAATTCTATTTTAACTTGTTTCTTTTTAATATAATATATTTTTGAAAATAAGTATCTTTGATGTAATATAAAATCCAAAAAAAAAAAAAAAAAAAAAAAGGATCTTAAGCCGGATAAAGGGTTTTATAGAGAAGGAAATGTAATAATAAATCATATTATTAAGGTGGTGCAAAAATTTAATGGGGTTCATCATTGTTTTACCTGTTTTGAACTTTTTTTACATTTCTACTCTGATTTCTCTAGCACAAGAAATATTGATACCTGATTTTCTGTATAATCATGCATTAAATGTTAAATTACTAAATCATTCTCTAAGGCCTAGGATAACATCTTGACTTAAATTGGCATTTATTTATGATGATTATTAAAAACTTATCACCACACACTTAATCCCCAGTCATTACTTTTTTTTTCCACAAACAAAAAACTGACATTTTTTTTGTGATCTATTTTTAGGGAAAAAGAGTGATTTAAAAGTTCTATATTTTAAGTCCATTAGAGATATGCTCTATAGTAGCATATTTCTAATGATTGCACTTAATTTTTATGATTTTAAGATTTGAATATTGAGATTATATAATATAATAAAAAATTTTATAACAAAATTTTATATTATATTATATAATCTTGTATGGGATATTGAGACAATTTTATATTTATTTTTTAAATTTTTGAATTGTGATAATTTAGAATTATTTCTTTAAATTGTCTTAGCACAAACTTTGTAGCAATTATAAAACTTCTGTCAAAAATTAATCTTTTTACATTTTTGACAGAAATTATAAAAAAAAGTTGAAAATTAAACCTTATTAATTTTAAAACATGTGCTTACATTCTACAATTTATTAGTTCTATTATAATAGGAAAATAATAGTTTACAGCACATACTAAAATTATTTTATCTTTAGATATAAGGTACTTTTTAATTAAACAAAGCACTTGTTACATTGTGCAGAAGAGTATCATGTGCAACACATATTACTGTTTATTAAAACTAGAAATTTTAAAATGATGCTATTAAAAGTAAGCTACAAACATTACCGTTTATCAACACTAGAACTTCTAAAATGTGAAGGAGTTGCAGAGTACAATTTATTGCTTCCGCTGCTAGGGTTACGATTGTGTTCATATAGACTTTTGCGCTCTTGCTTATCATCTTCAATTAAACTGTTTCGAGTTGGTGCATAGTTACTTGCAAAATCAGAAGAAAATAAAATTGAATCACCATTAACAGATGATCGACGATCATTTGAAGACTCTTGACTAAAATTATATATCAAAATAAATATACATATAATATAATATTTATATAATACAATATAATAAGTATAAAATTTTAAGACTTTATTTTAGCTTAAAATTTAGATTTACTTTGTATTTTATTATATTTAATTAATATAATTTTAATATATATATATATATATATATATATATATATATATATATATATATATATATATATATATATATATATATATATATATATATATATATATATATTAGGGATATGACTTTTTAAAAAAAAATTTCCCTAGCCCAAAAATGGATGAGTTTTTACGCATAAAATGCGAATTTATTAATACTTTCACGATGTTCAAAAAAAATGTCACGCCCCAAAGCACATTAAGATTTAAAAAGGTTTTAAAAAAATTAATGACCAAAATCATTTCTATTTGCAAACATGTTCATTCATATGATTCTATAAAAAAACATAATTTATTCTAACAATTAATACATGGCATAGTGTTATATTCAATGCAGGAAAAAACATTTTATACAATTTAAATACATACAGTTATTGTTTATTAGACAAAATGAAACGAAGTGGAAGAATGTCTTCATTTCTGCACAATCTATAAAGCTCCTCCATTACTTTAATTGCTCTTTCAGCAAATTGATTACTTCTGGGAATGTTGATTGCTGATGGTTCTGGATTCCAATGACTTGTAAGTGTAGCAAGGGGTTTCTTTTTGTTTAATAAAACTTCATGAAGGTCTGAATAAGTGTTTTCTTTATAGGTATGGTCGTCAAACCAAAAGTCTGCCCACTTGTAAGAAATAAAGGTACATACGGATTCAAGTTTGTTTCTTGTTTTTGGCATAAGAATGTAGGCTAACAACGCTAAAATAGCTCTTGAACTCCACCGAGCATTACTGATATTAGGGATTTTTTGAAATCTTACATTAGGAAATATTTTATTTTGGTCATAGTATCGGTAGGTTCTCGTCAGATGAAACAGAAACTTCATGTCATCTCGCCATCCTCCTGTGTCTTTTATTTCTTCTGTACCATTATAAAAATTTGTGTTCAGTGTTTCATAATGTTCTAACAACTCGTTAGTAAAAAAGTAATTAATGTTTGGTGAGTTTGGATTTTCTCCCAATTTTTCTTCCATTTCTAGTCTAAATATTCTATCCAAGATATAATGTTGACATGGTACAAATTGAGGTTTTTGTAATCCTTTTTTTTTTGAAAAATGTCCTGAAGTTTTAGAACAACACCATTTTTCTTTCCGGTATTGACATTTGTAGTATCTGTCACAATCATTTTAATTGAATTCCATAGTTTAAATTCATCTATAATATCAGCTATGGCATTTATAATAGTGATAGATTTTCCATCTATTAACTTCAGTGCGCCCAACTTTATTTCGCTTCTTTCATTTTTAAGAACGACAACCTGATACTCCCATTGGTCTATATGCTTTCCATCGAAGTGTAGACTCCAATTCTTATTCTTTAAATCTTGAATTAAAGTTTCTTTAAATTGTTTTGCTTCATTAAAAAGAGCCTTGTATATTCCAGACTGTGATGGCGCTGGATCATGTATGCCTTCTGAGGACAGTATTTTACCTATTTTAGAAGCTTTCTTAGTTGATACCTTAGCACAAACCACTAACTTTGTTGCTATTTTACAACTACTATATTTTTTACGTCTTTTCTTCAAATTATTATATTCTTCATCTGTAATTTCATTATCTATCTCAAATTGTTCATCAGTTTCTTCAAATTCGTAACTAAAGTTGTCTCTTTCTATTTTACTACTTTAAGTAAATGTAGAAAAACTTTTAGATGCTGAAGATTGGCTGGAAAGTTTTTGCACAATTGATGGATGAATAGTTTTTCTTTCCTGCCAGCTTTGAAGTAGCATAATTTTCTCCTTTGCTTTGTAACTGAATTTCATAAAATCTTTTATCTTCAGATGATAACCAAATGCCATTTTGATTTGTTATATCAAAAATCTCTTTTTGCAGAAGATCGGCATTCCCTTTTTTTCAGAGACTTTCATATTTTTCTATGACATCATAAATCTTTCGCTTCACTGACTGCTCTGTCAGACATGGGAAATTTAATTGTTCTTTCCACAAACTTATAACTTCTTCTGAAATAAAATCTATTCTTTGCTTTTTGGCTTTCACATCAGCACTAGACAAATACTTAAACCTGCTAACAATATCAATTTTTAATAGCATTTTGGAATATTCTTGAAAAGATGTTTCTAACATTGGAAACTGTCTACTTTTATGCGAATCTTGAAACTTCACAAGATTTTTTTTATAAGTCTCTTTATTTTTTTCAACGCTTGATTGGCAGTATTTGTATGCCATTTTAATTAAAAGCAGCACAAAAAAATCTGAAACTAATTAATAAACAATTAGGTACGACAGTGAAAAACTAGAAATTATAAAGTGGTAATGCATACGTCTGGTATGTATTTAAAATTATATATATAATATATATTAACCGTCTATATATATTTTATTATATATAACATAATAATATAATATAATAAAATATATATAGAGTGTTATGACTTCTTTAACTTATGTTTTCTGGCCCATATGTAATATGTATAGTATATTATATTCCTATCTATATTGTATTACAAAACATTTCAGCCGAGGGGCGTGACATTTTTTTACACTTGAAGGAAAATAAACATTTCTTCATTGTTTTATAGCAAAAACTCATCCAAAAATAATATGGGGTTGTCTAAATTGTATAAAAAGTTAAAAAAGTCATATCCCTAATATATATATGTATGTATAATATATATATATATATATATATATATATATATATATATATATATATATATATATATATATATATATATATATATATATATACATATAGAAGTGAAGCCGGTGATGGAAAATAAATTTTATATATATATTATGCATACCTAATGAGTGTTTATAAGTGAAAAAGAATTAAAATTAAAAATTTAAATGACTTAAAACAAATGTTAAAAATAAAAAATTCTAAGTTAAAAAATTTCATTCAAGAATTTTTTTATTAAATATATTAATATAGGCTGTTTTCTAGACTGTTTTCGATAGCGTCGACTGTATTTAAGCACCAATTTGGGTACTGCTTTAATTAAAATTTGAGGACCATTTTTTTTTTAAAACGATTTTTTACTTTTTTACGAATTCAAAAAGATTTAATTGTTAAAAACGATTTTTATTTTTATGTTATTGTAAAACATTTTTACAATAACATAAAAAATTTATGGCGAACGGGTTCTAAAATATGTATCAAAAACATGCTCAAAACAGACAAAACTTTTTTATTTTTTTATATAACGCAAGTTGAAACGCTAAGCAAGATTAATTAAAAAACTATTTAAAAACCTAAATTATTCTTTGCTAGTCAAAACAAAATTGCTGTTTAAATAATTAACATGGGTTTTTGTTTATAAATGTTAATATTTTTTGTTTACTCCAGAAATTTTTAAAAATAAAAAAAATCATTATTTTTTATTCAATAACGATTTACAAACAATAATTATTCAAAAGCAAATTTCAGAAATAATTAAAAAATATATATATATATTTTTTTACTAAATAATATTGAACTAAAATTAATAATAAAAATAACAATTAAAAACATTAAAAACTTTTCATAATAAATTTACATTCAAAACCTTTATAGTTATTTGAGTTAATTGTTAAATTGAACTAGTTAGCGGTTATTTATATATTGCGGTAGTTAAAACACTTAACTTCTATAAAAAAAAATAAAGATATTTTTATGACCTCAAATATTGTGTTAAGGACTTTTTTATTTAAAACCAGGCCTGCTACATAAAGCTAACCACTTCAGCCACTAAGATGAACAAAACTGCCAATTTTTGATAAACTATTTGATAACACTATTAGATAAACAAAAGACAGAATAAATTTATAAAATGACAAATAAGTGCTTTAAACCAAAATTAAGGAGATTTTGTCACAACTTTTAAATAGAAGTAAAACTTTATGAAAGTAAAAAAATCTAATCAACTTCAAATATGTTTTATTTTTTTATTTTAAAAAACCAAAAAAGATTTTTAAAAAATGTGGAAGAGCAAGGATTTGAACCATTGCATTTCATTTCACAATGCTGCAACAACTTTGGCCACTAAGGTGTATTGTTCAATAAAAGTTTTACTTATTAAACAATTTAACAAACAAAAGACTTTTTAAAACGGCAAATAAATGTTATAAATCAAAATTAAGGAGATGTTGTTGCAAAATTAAGGAGATGTTGTTGCAATTCAATTTTAAAGTAAAAGTAAAACTGTAAAACTTGATATATCTTTTATTATTACGTAATGTGATGTTTACATAAGCTAGATATTTGCATACACTTTCCTTTACATTTTCTGATACAAAAAGTACTGTGATTCTTGCCATTAACTCGGGTGTAATGACTGGCATGACTTCTGTGTCAAACACTCACAAATGAGTGATGGCAGCAGCTTTAGACTCAGTATTAAAATATGATTAATATTGTATGTTTAATTTAAACACTGTAACAACTGAAATACTCTTTAACTGAAGCAACTGAAAACTCTAATATAACAACATTATAATGTAGAGTAATGGATTCAAAAAATTGAAAATTTATTTTTTTAAACATCCAATTAAAACACATAAACCAATTTTAATTATATTTTCTATAAATTTTAAATTTAAAAAATTATATTTAGAAATATATAAGTCAAATAAGAGTTCAGTTTAACATTAAAATAAACTTTTTTAGTACTCAAACATTTAAAATTTACTTACGGTTTAAATAGTGGATCTCCAGAAGTAAGAGTCATACACGCTGTAATCTAAAAAAAATATATAATTGTATGAATATACACTACATACAAGATAAACTGAATGAGGTGAAGTTAAAATGTTATTTAAAAATGATTGGAATTACATAAGAGCAAAAAAGATTAAAAAAATTAAACTCTAAAAATAAAACATTAAATTACATAAAATAAAAAAAATTAAAAATTAAGAAAGAATGTTAATTAAAGCTATTGTGTTACCCGCAACATCGAATTATCTTGTCGATGTTGTTTAGAATCTTTGTAAGCTTCAAGAATGTATCTTCGAGAAACTATTCCATATCCAGCATATTCTGCTAAGTTAACATCAACATATCCAAGCTGGAAATGCAAACAACTTTAAAAATAATTTATGATCAGACTTTGCTTCTCAATAATTTCGAAAAAAGTTAACACAGGTATTTATTTATATAAACATTTGTTAACTTCAAATATTTATATAAATAAATATTTGAAGTTAACAAGTTAACTTCAAATATTCATTTATATAAATAACTTCAAATATTTATTTATACGTCAAGACAAATTTTTTTTTTAAATTTTAAATCGAATGTTTCTCTCTTATTTAAAGATTTTTGTATTACATTATGTGTGCTATAATCCATTTTTAGATAGAGTTTTTTTTTTTTTTTTTTTAACATTTTCACTTCCAACAAGGCTGCAAGCAACCACTATAAGAGTTGGAAGTTACTGGAAGAGAAAAGACTAAATCTGTAGAGCAAGATAACGATTGACTGATGACTTAAAAGATTGCAAATTATATGAATCAGGAAAGCAAGATGAAGGAAGCGAATTCCAAAGAACTGATGTTCGAGGAAAAAAACTAGAAGAATAAGAGTTTTTGAAGCACTTAGGAACAGTCACAGAAAAAGGATGAGACTTAATTGAATGGCGAGTAACACGAGAATGAATTTTAGTAGATGGCACAAGGGACGCTAGCTCTTTAGAGCAGTGCCCATTATAGTATTTGTAGAAAAGAGAAAGAGAAGCAACATTACGACGATGTGACAAAGGTTGGAGATTGGCTGCCAGAGCAGGTCCAACTATGTTTACAATTCGTTTTTGCACCTTGTCTAAAAGAGAAAGAGCATCATTAGAAGATCCGCCCCAGATGTGGCAACAGTATTCCATACAGGGACGGATTTGAGATTTATAGAGATAGAGAATAGAATCTGGAGTAAGAAAGTGTCGAGCTCGATAAAGAGATGCAACCTTAGCAGATGCTAATTTTGTAATGGATTTGATATACGGTTTAAAAGAAAGATCAGAAGTAAGAGTTAATCCTAGAAGATGAATGGTAGATGACTCATCTAGTACATTACCATTCATAAATATAGGAAGATCTAAATTATTACGATAACGATTGGCCGAATAAAATTGAGTTTTATCTGAATTAAAGTTCACCAGCCACTGTGAGCCCCATGCTGTAGCAGAAGTGAGATCCTTTTCAAGCTCAGATACCCCCTCCAAGCAATCAGAGAGTGTAGGCTTCTTATCATGACAAGAGTAAATGGTAGTGTCGTCAGCGAATAATGCCACCTTAGATGTGAGAATATCTGGAAGATCGTTAATGTAAATTAAAAAGAGTATAGGGCCAAGGATTAAACCTTGAGGAACCCCTGAAGTTACAGGATGTGAAGAAGAGTGTTGTCCATCGAGGACAACTTTTATACTACGATTGGAAAGAAAGGACTCAATAATCTTAAAGACGTTACCAGCTACACCATAAGAAGAAAGCTTATGGAGAAGACCAGCATGCCAAACTTTATCAAAAGCTTTAGAAATGTCAAGTGCGATAGCCTTAACCTCTCCACCTCTATCTAATGCACGGTAAAACCTATCGGTTATTACTGTTAGCACATCAGCTGTAGAACGAGAAGACCGAAATCCATATTGATGGTCAGAAAGTAAGTTATTTGATTCAAGATGAGAGATTAAGTGTTTGTTAATTAAAGATTCAAAAACCTTGCTTATGACAGGAAGAAGACTAATGGGACGGTAGTTAGATGAATCAGATCGCTCTCCGGAATTTTTGAAAATAGGGATAACAGATGCTGCTTTCCAGCATGATGGAAAACAAGACTCTGATAAGCACTTGTTAAATAGTTTAGAAAGTATGGATGAAAGCTCCGGAGAACACCTCTGCAAAACTACAACAGGAATGTTGTCAGGACCACAAGCTGTTGAAGAGTCTAAGCAGGAAATTACTTTAGATACAGAAGCTGAAGTGATGCGAATGTCAAGCAAGGGATCAACCTGTTTGACGGCTATGTCAGGTAAAACGCAACTAGTGGAATCAAGAGATGATATTGATGAAAAGTTCTTAGCAAACAATTCAGCTTTGTCATTAGGTGAGGTGACAAAGTCTGAACCATACAAGAGAGAAGGAATAACAGATTTGCCCTTATTATTGATACTGTTAAAGATTCTCCAGAAGTCTCGAGAGCCTAATTTTTGTGATGAGATACGAGATTTAATGACCTGGGAATAGCGTTTCTGCTATTACAATAGCAGAAACGGAATATGCTATTACAATAGCGGGAATAGAGTTTCTGCTATTACAATAGATTCTTAGTTCTTTTATGTTAAATTTAAAAACTTTTTTCTAAAAGCAGAAACAAGATATAGATAATATTCATACCGTTTAATAAAGCTCTTTAGTTACAATGTTCTAATTCAAATTGTTATTAATTTGTAATTGTTATTTTTTACTCTTTTGTTTTTTGAAAATAACTTTTTTTAAGTGAAATACTTTTTGATAATTACTTTTTAACTAACCCAATACTGAAATAACATATTTAAAAATTGTTTTCTGCTAATTAATAATTAAAATAGAAAGAAATTGTGCAAATATTAATTTTTTAAACACTTATTAATACTTTTCATAATTTTAAAATTTTTATCATTCATGTAAATATATAAATTGAGTTATTTACAAATTAAAAGGGAGACTTACCTAAACCAATTGTCATCCTCACAAATATAGAATTTCAAGTTGATGATTTTTTTTTGTTTAGAATTTATGGTAAACTATTTTGATTAAGCATAAAATTCTCAGAATTTAAATTTGCTGGCATTGAACATGAAATGTATCTTTGTATAAATTTTTACAAGGGTAAAGAACCTTTTTTCAAAGTTAAACTTGCTATTTCCGAAAAAAAAAGTTAAGTTAAAAACAGAAACGCTAACTAATCACTAATCATTCTTTTTAATTATTCAGAATTATTCTTAAAACAGAAACAGTGAATTATGGGGTTAAATGAAATATGCCAATTATTTGCTTGGTAAATAGGGCTTTTATTAATTAATTGTCTAAACTGATCAATAAATCTTTAATAAATTTTTCATTCAACTTTTAAATAAATTATTATCAAATTTATTCTTACATAAAATATGCCTCAAAAAAACTTCAATGCCCCCAAAAAAAAAGATACACCGGAGACCAAGTTGGTATTGCAGTAGCAAAAGCTTTAAAAACTCTGGTGAAGTTTTTAAATGCATGCAAGTAGTCACTGGATTTGAAAATACTGGTTTGTTTCCCCTTAACATTAAGAAAATCTAAATTACAAGTTGCTAATATGTTCGAAAAACTTTTATCTCAACCTGAGCTTATCTCAACCACCTGATTTGTTGCCAAAGCCACCACCATCACCAGCTACATTATCTCAGCCACTGCCTTCTTAATCTACAATAACAACATCTTACATCAGCATATGTCGTATAACACCAGCTTTCAAGTCAACTCAACAGTCAACTTGCCTGTGACCAACCTTCAATATAAATCTGGCTATTCAAAAAGAAATTTAAAAAGAAGTTAAAAAAGCTTACATTCAACACGTTGACACAAGAAGAGAAAAAATGTAGTCATACCAAAATGCACGGGGATAGTCTCAATAAATATGAAATATTCGAAAGATTGAAAGAGGCTGACAGCAAAAAATCAGCAAAGCAAGTTAGGAAACAAAGGAAGCTTGACTTCGACGATGAGCAGCAGATAAATCAATCAACAACAGCAGCAAACCAAGTCAAGTGTAAAAAGTGCCATAATAATTTGAGCAATATTTCAGCAAATCAAAATAGTGAATGGTATCAGTGCAAAAATACAAAATGCTAGGTTTGGCTTTGTCAAACATGCATTCCAAAGCAATATATATTAATTGACAACTCAACCTCCAGAACCTCTTAAAGATTAAACATCATCACCTAAATAAAAATAATGTCTTTCTTAATTGGTTGTTTTTTAACTGTTATCATTGGTTGTATTTTTTAAGTATTCTTTTAATTAACTATTAATTTGCATACTTTATTTTCCCCAAATATGAGGGTACAAATTATTTAATTTTTATTTTTTTTAATTGATTAATTAAAAAAAAAAAAAATAAATAACCAAAAATCTTTTTCCGTAAAAAAAAAAATTAAAAAAATTAAAACTCTAAACTATTTCATTTGACCCGCTTTTACTAGATAATTTATCATTGCTGAAATTTTTCTTTCTTTTGTATTGCTAGGTTTTTACTTTTTACTTGCATATGTAAGTAGTGTTTTTGTCGAAATATTTCCAAATAATACTTAACAATTTATGTCATGCAACCTTTACCATTATTAAAGTTTTTTTAAAAGAACTTTGAAAACACTCATCAAAAAATTTCAAATTTACATAAGCAAAAAATTGCAAAAATTAAAATCTGCTTTTTTACTATTTTAAAGATGTGATAAAAAGATCTGAATGCAATAAGATTTTAAAGTAATTAAGACAATATACTTAACCTTATGGTTATTGATATTACTATTGTTTACTCTTTAAAACTCTAAAATTATCAAGAAATTTATTGCAAACTAATATAGTTAGCAATTTTTTATACAATTTAAAACTTGGAAAAATAGTTGCTGCACACTTATAGATTGTTTGCCAAAAATATCAATTAACTGTAATATCATGTAACTGTCATATCATGTAAAATGTCATATCATGTAAAATGTAACTGTCATATCATCAAAAACATCAATTAACTGTAAAATCGTGTAACTGTCATGTCATTAGATGTTGAAATTAATTTTTACATGTAACACTTAAAATAACATTATTGAAAGCAATTTTAACTTTAAATAAAAATTATACCTTTTCATAATTTTTTCCACCTTTGATTTCCTGAAAAATAATAAGATTGATTTATAACATTTCCAAAACATAGAGAAAAATCATGAATTGTGTTTTATATCCAAATTTTTGACTTTTGTCAAACCTTTTACAGGGTTAAAGGATAAACTATTTACACATTTCGTTTCATCTGAACATAACATGCGTTTTAAACCCAATGTCCAACAGAGATTAAGAGATTTTTTATTACTACTTTTTACTGTGCTACATTTTTACTGTGTTAAAAATCAACAGTCAATACAATAATAAACAGCAGAGTAATTTCATGTCAATTCAACCAGGTCACCATATACCTCAAACTTTGCTGAGTTTTAAATGGTTGAGGTTTATTTTATATGAAATCACCTAGTTTTTCAAAAGTGCCCCAGGGTACCACCTCCAATTTACTTCAAATTTTGACCACCCACAGCTTTTGTAAAAAAAAACACAATTCTGAAAATTTTAGCTGGATTGACTAAACGATTTAATGCAATAGTGGTGTAGTGGTAGAGCGCTCGCTTCATAAACGAGTGGTTCCAAGTTTGATCCCCACCACGTCCCTGATAGTACTGCGCTTAACTTGTTTCTCTGCGCAGCGGCCTTGTTTCTAGGCCTTGAGGAGGTGAATTAAATAAAAAAAATTAAAAACAAAAATTTAAAAGCTATAATTAAATCAATAAAGACCAACATCCGCAAAATTTGAGTATCTGGAGTTTATAGTAGATTTTTTTGATTTTTAAAAGAGCATAACTTTTTAAATAAAATAGATGATCACCTGAAATTTTGATTTGTAATAGTTTTTCACCCAAATTATCTATTTTTGCAGGTATTTTTGACTGATTCGCAGAGAACTATATAAAGTTTTCTAGTGCAAGATGCTGTACAAGGGTTTTACTAGCAAGCTGATCAAGCTACCTTACATCCATTTGCTGTTTATTTACAAAGATCACAATATAAATACTGAGCATCACTTCTTTGCTATATCCCATAACAAAAGTCCATGTGATAGAATAGGAGGAACTAAAAAAGGAGAAGCAGCAAAAGTAAGGAGCAAATCCAAACCAGATTCTTACACCAATTGAACTGTTTACATGGGCTGAAAAAAACATTAAAGGTGTTAATATATTTTACATTTTAAGTGATGATATCAATAACCATGAAACTTATTTTAACCTAAAGAAACAATATGAAGAGCATAGTCTCAGGCACAAGAAGCTATCACAGTTTTGTACCAGGTCATAAAATAGAGTATAGGTCTTTGAATCTTTTTTGGTGATTGTCTATATATAGAACCTCGCCAGTAAAAAGTTTCATAATTTATTTTAAATGTCTACACTACTTTCTATGACTAGAAAGTGAATGTAATTGATTTTTTTTTTTTTAAAAAGTGATATTTTAAGAGGCTGCTGTAAGTGCTAAACTTTTAACACATAACTTCATTTTTTTCCGCAAATGGTAACTCTAAGTACACAAAAGTAACAAAAAATTGGCACAGCTTGTCTGTTGGTATTGTACTGTAGCACATTAAAGTTTCCGAAATAAGGTCTAAAACTGCGTTATTTAACAACTTTGAAGTTAAAAAAACTTAAAAATTGTTTGAAATCATTCAAAAACACATGCAAAATTGTATTATTAAGGTCAAAAACTATTGACATACAAAATTTCAGATAATCATTTATTTTATTTGCAAAGTTGTCAAAAGTCAAAAAAAATCTACTGTAAGCTCCAGGTACTTAAATTTTTCTGATTTTTGTCAATATTAAATCAATCATAACTTTTGAACGGTTCAGCCAATCAAGCTAAAATTTTGAGGTTTGTATTTTTTTCATATATACTGTAAGTAGTCAAAATTTGAAGCAAATTTGAGGTGGTACCCTGGGGACCATTAGGTGATTTGATACGAAATGACCATTGAGAAGACTTTGTAAAAAAAGAATTCCTTGAAAATTTTAATCTCAAACTCAAAGCAGATTCTGATATAACTCTAATTTACTTTTATAAGATATTTGAAAGACCTTGTTGTCGTTGTTTCGGAATTGCAAGGTTTATTTTAAGGGATTTTTTCAAGCTTTAAGTCATAACCTTAAAAATTCTTGATCTTTTTACTTAAAAACTTATACCTGGCTATTTTCTCAATTGAGAATTCAATAAAATGATAAAAAAGTGATAATTCATTATTAAGTAACCCTAATTATCAATTTATATACAGTAAATTCCCACTTATTTGAACTGTTACTTATTCAAATTTTGTGCATATTTGAAGCAATCTTCTTTTCCCATGAATTTTCTTTAACAAACTTGCAAATATTCATCAGTTATTGTAACCTGCTGTTTTTCAAAATTTTGGTTATTTCTGGATATTTTATCATCCATCAGTTATTCTAAATTTTTTCCGATTCATACCATTCCATTGCATTTCAAAACGTAACATTATGGAATGTAACCAAAATATAACAAACATGTTATTAAAATATAATTAAAAAATCTAACACAGCGCAATCTAATGTGGCAGAAATTTTAACATGGCATCTTCACAAAAGACAGTTCAGACAATCAAATAAAAATATAGCTCTTTAAGATTTAGAAAAAGTAAAAAAAATGTTGTCCAAAAGTTTAGTGATCCTTAAAACACTTTAACTTACTGGATTAAGCATAAAGATATAATCAGCAAGTATAAGTCAGGTCAATTTAAAGCAAAGAGGCAAAAATTAAGTGTGGAAAAGCATGATTTCGTTTATAAAGCTGTATATAAATGGTTTATGAACTCACATGAACAGAATGTACTAATTACCTAATAAACCTTTTTTTTTACATACACATTTTTATATATATACACACATATATGCATCTAAATATTTTAACATAAAACTTGAAATTTTTATTACCTTCCGAACTGAAATGCGACAAATACAATTTTCCAAAACTCCAGTAATTTGAGATACTGTTATTTTGCATGAAAAAACAAACTGATTTTCCCATTTCACACAGTGTGAAACTACATTATCTCTAAATAATAAGTATATTCATTCAAATTATTAAGTAAATGCACAACTCAAACAACGTAATTTATTATCACATAAATAGTTGTATTACTACTTAATAACACCCAATTAGTATAAAGTACATATTCAACCCAATGAACCTTCGGTAAATAATCAATCTAATTTTTTTTCTTATTTTTTTGCCAAAATATTATGTAACAAGAAACTTACAGTATTGACAGGACTACTACAAGATCACAGAATCTTATCATTAATATCTCTTTTATCTTAACTCTTTCTCATATATATATATATATATATATATATATATATATATATATATATATATATATATATATATATATATATATATATATATATATATATATATATATAATATATTAAAATCTCTTTTTTTAAAGCTTTTAATAAAGGGTGAGTAAATATGTATCCATTTAGTTTTATGAGTATTTAAAGACAATCTATTTAAATTTAACCAATATGAAATTATTTTCAGTTCATCGAACATTTTATTAAAAATTATATTTATGCATCTGGAATATATTTGTATCATCTTTGTAAAAATCATTTAAGTAAATTAAAAATTTAAGGGACCCAAATATGGATCCTATATCAAATCGATTTTCATAAAGTTTATTAAACATAAAGTTTTAATCACACATTCACACATAAATAAGATATATGTTACTCGATTAAATTAATCAATACCTTGAAGTATGATCTGAAAAATAACCGCCATTTATCAATCGAGTTTTGCAATAAATAACACCATTTAATAAGGGGATGCTGCTTAACTCTTGTATATTGAGTTTCACGTCAAACTTAAGCTTTCTCTTTTTCATCGTCCTTTATGTGTTTACCAGAAAGTGAAAGTTTTAAGTACCAAATTCATTGTAGTAAATAACTGAAAAATCAAATAAAATATATGAAATGCATATTGAGTCACTGTGTTTCACAGTTACCGTGGTACGCACGCATCATAGAATATCTGAAATAGCGGAAAAAGTAAGTTAAAGAATTTATTTATTTAATTTAACTAAATTAAATAACATAAATTAAAAAATAAGTGATCGGAAATATTTAGTAACATCCGACTAATTTTTAAGTCAACATTTTTTAAATTTTTCCGTAGAGACACACATAAAAAAACAATAAATTAAATATTAAATCTTTTAAAGTGATTTTACATACTTCCGTAATTACTCTAAACACTTGTAGTTTTAACGACTTTTATTAGGAAATGTGGATAAAAACACTTAATATCCGGTAGAAAAATATTTTACATGTAACCAAAAACTAATATCCAACATATAAACAAACAAATTGATAATAATTATGTTGGTTTATATTGTGTACAATAATACAAGTAACATAATTATGTTAACATAGATAAAATATAATGAAAATCGAAAAAAGGTAATAATTATTAGACAAGTATCATCTAAATGACCAAACATTTTTTTTTTAATTTTAAGAGGGGAAGATTAATAGCTCTTAGTAATAGATACCAATGGTATCAATAGATACCAATGGTATCATTTTTTAGCTTTTCTTTCTAGCTAGTTGCGTTGCTTCTTCTTTTCTTTTGAAAAACTAAAAAACATCTTGTTCTGCGATACTTTGCCGATATAGAGCTTCTCCGATGGGGGGTGTCTAGCCCTCCTTCAAATTTTATCAGTAGGCAAATTGGATACTTTTTTTGTTGTCGTTTTAGGTGCCCCAAGAAGACCCAACAGTCTTGTTACAGAGCACCGCAGAAGTGCATTTAACCAGGAAGTTTACGCCTCCTTCCTTACCGTGACGCGAAAATATTTCCAGAGTTTGTTTCGAACCTGGATCTCCTGCTTATAAACAAGCGCTCTAACCACTACGCCACGACCGCACTAAATGCTGATACTGGAGTTGGCAAAATTGGATCTCTAGATGGCAGTCGGCAAATTTCGGCCAAAGAGGACCTTCTTTTTTTTTTTTTGGCCGTCAAAAAAAGTTTTTTTGGTTTTAGTCTTCAAAAAACAGGTAGTTCAACCCCCTTTAAGAACTTTTTAAAACAGCTCTGATTTTGACCAGCAATTTTTTTTGCTGGCAAGAAGCGGCACTAGCAAGCGCTTTGTGAAGTTGTTAATATTCTCTTTGAAATTTTTTTTAGCTATTTGTTCATAATTGCATAAAACCAGACTTTGACAGGTTTACCAATTTTGAATAGGTTTGATTGCTTTGAACAAAGAAGGTAGCCGCATACAAAAAAAGTTCTTAAGCTTTTGAAACTTTTTGTTTTTGTATCCTATGAGTTAAACATTCAAAGGATACAAAAACAAATATTGCAATAATTTAAATGCAATTTTTCTGATTGAATTATCTCTTTCCTTTTACATCAATTAAACCAAGTTTTATTTTTTAATTTTTCCTTGTATGATATTTTTATTTATTGAGATTTCAAACGAAATTGATTAAGATAACCGGAACTAACGCACCAGAATAACCGAAACTAACGCACCAGAAAATCCGAATCCACATAAGTTCTTAATTACAAAAAAAATTTCAAAAAGATTTTTTATTAAAACCGTTTACTTTATCTTTATAATTTGAACTCAATTTTTATAATATTATATTTAATATTCTAGTATAAACAAAGTTTACACCGCATAAAAATTAAATTTACTATTAGGTTATTAGACTTAAAATTAAAAAAAAAACAACAAAAAAACAAAAAACTTAAAATTAAATTTTTACATTATATTCCAAAAACAAACAAAAAAATTTAAAAAAGTTGTTGATTTTATTATTTAAATATCTTTACTTTTTTCAAAAAAGTTTTATTTTATATTTTAATGTTACAATCAGTGATCGAGAAAAAAAAATGTGTTACGGTTTGTACAGGTTTAACTTATGTCTTTCATTAATATGTCTACGATTCATCCGAATCTGACCAGGATTAGGCGGTCTATTAGGAATAGGCAACCTTTTCGATCATGGGTAACTTTTCCTAGTCCTAAAAGGCAGCAAAAAGTGTAGAGGATTGTAAGGGATTATGTTTTATCAGCAACAGAATACACATAATAGTCCTAACCTGAAATGTTTCGTATATCAAATAAATGTCTTATAGGGGAAAGTCAGGTATCCTCGGACGGAAAGATCTGCGCTGCTCTTTGATAAGAGCGTTAGGACTACTTGAGGCACTTAAATAAAATTAAAAAAAAGGGTAACTCCGGACACTTGATGTGCAGTTTAAACTAAAGAAGCTATGTGACTTTAAATACAATAAAAACATTATTTGGGTGGAAATATGGCATATGCAAAATAGCGATAATAATATGCAGAAGCAATTAGTTGGGAGTGAAAGATATTGTTTTCCACCACCAGAAGAGCGATGTATCATCATATTTGATTCACATATTAATATACCAATTTCTTATGTAAACTAATAATTTTTTATTTATTAAAGATACATTTTTATTTACAATATTCGTTTAAAAATATTTGTTTAATACTTTAATTTACTGCTTTTAAAACTAGTATTTGTGAATGAGGTATGATCGGGTGGTATCGGACATATTTTTAGAGGGTGGTTTCGGACAACTTAATATATTTACATATAAATAATAATACATTTAATACAATATACAAACCTATAATAAAAATTAATTTAAATTTAAATAAAAAGATCTAAGATTTGGAAAAAGTATTTTCGAAGTGTTTATTTTCATTGGTAAAAAGCTAACGCTTATATTTATAAATGATGACATTTTCATTCCCATTCTTTATATATCAGAAGCAATTTTTAAAAGCGATTTTTGTTTTTAAATGTGTTGAGAACATTCCAATGCTAATTAACTATGTACAATATTTGTGTCTCACGGGTAAAAAAGAGGTAAAATCATGGTTAAACTATGTGTCAGGGGCCACCCTCAAAATTTGAAACTTTTTTCTAAAATTTTTTCTTTTATATTTCGTATATTATTAAGATATACAAAAGTTATTTTTTTGTTTCTAATTCAAGAGATATTGTTTAGATTTTTAAAAAAGTCTTTTGACAACTTATTTATTACATGTGTACAATCTATTTTTTTTTTAAGTGTCCGGAGCTACCCAACTTTCTTTAATGTGTTTATAATATATATCGCATATGTATATATATATACATACATATATATATGTATATATATATATATATATATATATATATATACATATATATATATATATATATATATATATATGCATATATATATACATATATATATATATATATATATATATATATATATATATATTATATATATATATATATATACATATATGTTAACCATAATGCCAGATTATGGTTAGATGCATATATATATATATATATATATATATATATATATATATATATTTATATATATACATATATATTATATATATATGTATGTATATATATATATATATATATATATATATATATATATATATATATATTTATATATATATATATATATATATATATACATATATATATATATATATTTATATATATATATATATATATATATATATATATATATATATATATATATATATATATATATATATATATATATATATATATATATATATATATATAGTAGCGTCTAAAAGTTTGTGGACAAGTAAAAAAATAAGGAATTTTGCTAATATATCAGCACTTAGTTTACTAAAGCCAACATATTTTATTCCGATCAAAAGATTTTCAAGTTTAAAGTTAAGCTTTGAGCAAATAATGATTATCTAATTAACATTTTTAAATTGGCATTCAAATCACAGATTTTTGAAAAGTTCAAAAATTTGCAAACAAAGCTTTTTTTTTTAACAATATTTGATCACAAATTCAATAAAAGCAAGATCGCATTAGTATTTTGTAGGATATCCTTTACAATCAAAAATGGCTTGGCATCTATGAGGAATAGAGTCAACTAAACGAATGCTAGTATTTTAAAGCTTGAACCTCAAACGCATAAGAAAAATTAAAAGATGTTTGTAGAATTAGATGGATTGAGCGTACAGATGTTTAAACACTTGACTTGAACATTGTTCATTAATTTTCCATGTTTATGTATCATGGCTTTCCTTGAGAGTTCTGTTAACAAAAACACACAAAATAAATCTACTTTTTAAAATTACATTAGCACTTTTCAATTTATCTTTATTTTTTTTTACTTTTTTTATTTTACTTTACTGTTTTTTTTATTCTACTTTACTTTACTTGTCTTTTATTTTACTTTACCTGTTACCAAAATAAAAGTTCAGTGATCAAAAACTAGTTCAGCCATCAAAACATAAAAATTTCTCGAAACAAGCAACAATGACTAGAAATTTTTTAATTAATAGTGCTTTTTTTTTTTAATTAAAATATATTTTTAAAAGATGCGTGGACTGTTGTTACATCAAATAACTTAAAACCTGCTGCTACAAGGAAGTGTTGCTACATCGACTTAAAATATATATATATATATATATATATATATATATATATATATATATATATATATACATATATATATATATATATATATATATATATATATATATATATATATATATATATATATATATATATATATATATATATATATATATATATATATATATATATATAAAATTGATTTTTTGACGAGATTAAATAAAAAATTTACATAATTTTTATTTAGATTCTTAGATGTCTCCTTTAACTTAGAAAAAAACTCCTACCAAACTTTCAAAAAACCAAATGAATATCTACGTTACATCCACACTGATTCCAACCAACCTCCGCAAATAATAAAGCAAATCCATCTCTATCAACGACAGATAATCACAAAATTCCTCAAATGAAAAAACATTTAATTTATCTATACCAAAATTCGGATGAATTAAGAAGAAATGGCTTCACTGGTTTTTATTTAAAGTATAATTCCCAAAAAAGAGAAAAAAAGAAAAGAAAAAGAAATATAATATGGTTTAACTCCC